ATCTCTTAGCCATTGTATCTGCAGGAGATGCCTATTATGCAGATAGCATGAACCTCTTGAAGAAAAACCCTCAACTATTTCCTTTGGGACTTCAATTGATTACTGATCCTGTGAAGAGAGCACAGGTACTTGAGGCTTGGGGAGATCATCTTAGTGACGAAAAATGCTTTGAGGATGCTGCTGCTATTTATTTGTGTTGTTCCCGTTTGGAAAAGGCTTTGAAGGAATATCGTGCTTGTGGTAATTGGAACAGGGTGTTTACAGTAGCTGGACTTCTAAAATTGGACAAGGATGGGATTACGCAATTGGCTCATGAACTGTGTGAAGAGCTTCAGGTCCTTGGTAAACCGGGAGAAGCTGCCAAAATTGCTCTGGAGTATTGTGGAGATGTAAATAGTGGAATACAGTTGCTCATCATTGCAAGGGAGTGGGAGGAGGCTTTGAGGGTTTCTTTTATGCACAGGAGAGAGGACTTAATATCAGAACTGAAAAATGCATCACTGGAATGTGCTAGCAGTCTGATAACTGAATACGAGGAAGGATCAGAAAAGATTGGGAAATACTTGACTCGCTACCTAGCTGTTCGACAGAGAAGATTGCTACTGCAAGCAAAGCTCCAGTCAGAAGAGCAGTCAGTGAATAATGTTGATGATGATAGCGCTTCAGAAGCTAGCAGTACTTTCAGTGGCATGAGTGCCTATACCACAGGGTATCTTCATTCACTTTTTTTTCACATGGTTAGCCATTAAAGTCTTAATCCTTCACTAAATGCATAACATACCTGTTAACTTTAAGTCAATGATTTTGGTAACTATAGGGGCATGTCTTTCCTTTTTCTAGGTTTTTTTTTTTTTTTTTTTTTTGCCCCAGCTGGTGGGGGAAAAAGAAGGGGAGTGGAGCTTGGGTAATTGGTGGAGAGCAATGGACAAAAGAAATATTCTTTAAGCAGGTTAAGGTAGCTAGAGGATTTCAATTAGCTCAGTATTCACAATCTATTTTTGCCTTAGTTCATATGACTTTTACTTGTAATGATGGATGCTTAAGGGACAATATTGGTAACTGATCTGAACCAAACTAATTCTTTTATCCCACCTTTGGGTTTACATGGATCCTTCTACACAGATCTTTCTGTCTGAAGTAATGGTGAACAGAGTCATTGAATTTTAAGTTTTTCTTGTGGCTGGTAGTGCCCTATCCAGTTCTCTGTCTCATGTACTAAACAGTTGTTTCATTACAGTATGTTTATATATCTACCAGGAGCATGTTAAAGGAGGCTTCTTGTATGGTACTTTTATGGGTTTGCTTTAAAATGTGACCCCCAGTGAGATCCTAAGGATTTTTTTTTTTTCGAGACATTTGTGTTTCTTACTATAGTTATTGCAAAAGCCTTTGTTTGACAGCAGTGGGCCTGGTTGCCTGTGGTAGCATAAGTGGGTCCTTGGTTTTTCCGGGCCGTAAGAGTCATTGTCCTGTAGTGTTTTGTTATCAATCTTTTCTGTAAATTATGCTTTTTTGTAACATAATACTACTTTGTTAGTGCAATCAGAACCCAATTTGAGGTTGTCTTTAGGAACTCAAGGTTTGAGCTCCTCTTTCTATTCCCTTAGCCCTCTTCCATGTATAGAATCTTTTTTCTTTTTTTTTTTTGTCTTTTATGTTTCTTCTTGATCCACCATTCTTTTCGAAGGGAGGTCTCTTTTTTTTTTGAAATAATTCTGGAAGGGAGGTCATAGTTACTTACTAGGGTAAACGCAAAGATGTAGTCTACATCCGAAATCCTTATATCAATTCAAAGTGTTTGATTTGCTTAATGTGGTTGTCTCCTCAATGACCAGGACAAGAAGGGGCTTAGCTGCTTCCATCAGCTCCACTGTGGCTAGCAAGGCAAGAGACACAAGACGCCAGAGAAAAAGAGGAAAAATCCGCCCCGGCAGGTATTTTGGTTATTCAAAGTTTAAGTGCTTCTATTTTTCGTATGCATTCTTCTCTATTAGCAGTAGTAATGCTAAAATTATGGATTTTGTAGCCCTGATGAGGAGATGGCACTGGTTGAGCATTTGAAGGGTATGTCTTTGACAGCTGGAGCAAAGCGCGAGCTTAAATCTTTGTTAGTTTCTCTTATGATGCTTGGCGAGGAAGAAACTGCATGCAAAATGCAACGTACAGGGGAGAAATTTCAACTGCTTCAAATGGCAGCAGTGAAACTTGCCGAGGAGACAATGGCCACCAATAGCATTGATGAGCACAGTCATACCCTGGAGCATTATTTACCAAAAATAAGAAGTGAAGTGCAAGATTCAGATGCTTTTTCTTGGCGGTTGAGGGTCTTCATATCTCCTTCAATGGTGAGACTAATAAATTTCTAGCAGTATTTTTCTATTTTTAGTTCAGCCTAAACCTTCAGGCATGCACTTTGCTAGACTGATTCCATTCAGATAATTTTCCTTTGATTATGTGGTTAAGCGGATAAGGTTCAGTTCTAATACAATGTGCTTCTTTAATTTATTCTCACCTGACCACTCGTTCACCTTGACTTGACTAACTTTTCAACCTTAGGTCTTTTACACTAAATCTCAATGCACTTAATAAATTTTACTCTCTGTTTATTGATCCTCCACGTTCTTTCGCTAAGGTTGACCAAAAGTTACACGATTCCCAGTGATGGATTGAGTAATCCAATCCCAATCCTCATCATCCAAGTAGTGGCAGGTTATCATATTTCTGAAGGGTACAAAATACATCTTCATGAGTGACTAAAATGGAGGTTGTATTGACTACTAAGAATTACAACGAAAAACATGATGATGGGAAGCAGTTACGCTTTTGTTTTCGGTGTCTGGAGCATTTGGTTACTTACAATGCTGATTTCTGAATGCAGGCTGCCGCGGTCTAGGTCACGACTGGGAAGAAGCACGAGGCTGAAAGCCAAACCGATGATGAATGTCCAAGGATGACGACTCATACCATCAATGACTTTCATCTACTGCTGGTGTTCTTTTTAAACGAATGCTCATTAGTATTTATCAGTAATGCAGCAATCCGTAGGATTTTTTGAGTGTCCAAATTTTATGGTTAACTTCATTTTGAAGTTAGAATGCAACATCGCCTTTTTTTGTTTCTTTTTGTTGATAAGACACTTTTTGATAGTCTGGGTGGTGGGATTGAACAATAGGTTGGTACTACCATGCTTTCTAGTCATGCTATTTTAAAATGCCCAACGATTAGATTCAAATGCTTAAAAAATTTGAACTATTCAAAAGGATAAAAAACTTATTACTGATTCATGGCGTCGTTCAATTCTCGTGGATGGCATTATGTTTAGGAGATATGCTACTAGGGGCAATGAATCAGCATCTCAAGAAGGTGAAACAAGGGCTTACTTAACAATCCCCGAGAAAAAAATATCCACTTTGTTAAAATTGACTCTTTCTTCATCTAATTAATCCTCAATAAGATAATCTTGTTTTTACCCCCAAAAAAAAAAAAAAAAATCAATTCTGTAAAATTAGAGGTTCAAATAGTTGTCAGTGTGAAGAGAAAAGAAGAAAAACAAAGCTCAGAAAAAGCACAACCGCGTGAAGAATAAAAAAAAGGGGGAAAAGGCACCTAAAAAGGGCCCAACCGGGTTCGAACCGGTGACCTCTTGATCTGCAGTCAAATGCTCTACCACTGAGCTATGGACCCCTTGTTGCAAAAGGTGCCCAAAATAATAACAAAACCAAGACCCAAACGATATATTAACTTAATTAAATTTTCCTCTCATTGTTTTTGAAAATCAAATAAGTCAACTTCTATTTTTTTAGTAAAACTTGAAAAGCCACATAATTTAACTTTAACTCTGGGATAATCAACCCTTGAATTCTTAATCAATCCATGAATGTAATTGAAGATATGTTATGCTAATTAGGATGTTTATGGTAAATATTTAGGCTATATCTGGTACTTAGTAGAATAGGATGAGGGATGAGAAAATTTTCTTATCCTGTCTTACCTAATTTTTTAGAAAAAAAAAAAAATGATAAGACATCTCCTACTCCATACTTACAATAGCATAAATAATATGTTGTATTTTATAATAAATAAATAAAGAATATTTATTTAAATAGTCATTTAAAACGACTGAAATAATTTTTATATTTTTTTCCTCCATATTTTCACATTTAACAATAATATTATAACTGTCATCTTACCATATTCCTGTTCATTGTTTGAGAGTAAATTTTTTTATATATAAATTAATACACTAATCACTCTATATTTATTGCAAAATAGATTATATTATTTATTCTATAAAAATTAATTAAATAATATTTAATTATATTGTTTTTTAAAAAAATAATAAAATAATTCTTATTTTTTGTCACATGTACACATTTAACAAAAATATTATAATTGTTATATTTATTATCATAACAACTCTTATATTTTATATTATTATTATTATTATCTTATTACAGTTGTTCCTGTTATAATATTTTATTATTATAATTAAACAATTACTGCTACCACTGTTATCCAACCATCATTGTCACTATTGTTGTTTCACCTTATTATTGTCTCACCAATACTGTTTTACTATTATTAGCATCGTCACTATTATTAGTACTACCTCCAGTAACATTATTACTACCATACAATCACCTATTTCACCACTGTCGCGTTGCCCTTTTCACTACTAACTATGAAAATTGCCACCCTTATCAACACCCCACCATCTTTCTTACTATGATAGCCACCATTTACACCGGTCATCATCTCACCTTTACTATTACCATATGTTATAACTAATATTATATTGTTATTTATAATTAAATTTATTATTTTATTATTATTACTAATATTATTATCATTATCATTGTCATAACTATTATCATTGTTTTTACTATTAATTATTAAAATAAATTAAAAAAATAATATAGTTTCTTATACTATATTATTCGTTCGTTTATTTAATCATCACAAATATATAATTGGGTCAAAATCTTATCTTCGATAGCTTATATTACCTTACCCTACACATATACCAAACACAACCTTGAAGAAAATTAAAAACTCCGGCAAATAGTTCACCTATTAATAATCAAAATCTACATTGCTTCTGAGCATGAGACTTCTGAACAAAGTAGTAGATAAATCACTATCAGTGTCCAGCATCATCTTCAAAGTAGATCGTAATAAAGGCCACACAAAAAAGTGTGATGGCAGTAGTGGTCTTAAAAATGGCAGCAATGGCTCCTATGATGTCGGAGGTGGCGGAGGCACTATAGTGATGATGGCTCCCGGAAGCAGAGGCAAGTTCATATTTCCAGGGAGGTGTTTGAGAAGAATCCACAGGGTTACTTTGCTGAGCTGCGGGAGAATGAGAAAGCAAACAAACAGTAACAATTAATGTTGTTTCTGCTGCTGTTACATGTTTCTGAGTTGTAGCATTTATGCATGATGTAATAATGCAAGTTACTTTTTCTAAATAAATTAGAGTTTTATGAGGTTACGTTTGATGTTTATGAGTAAATGCAATCTATAGGATCCACATTGGGAAAGTCAATGTAATTATTTTGAAAATCAAAGCTAAAAGTTGGAGAGACAATATGTGATCAAGCTCTTATATTGTGTAGTAACTCTCTTCATGTTCAACATAGCTTGCCTCTGTTGCTCCATTGTAGAACCTCATCAACAGATCCTGTTTGATTTTGTTTTGAGATTATACTTGGGCATTAAAAGTTCAGTCCATTGATGCCACTTGGTAAAGATTAAAAAATCCCGTACAACAATTAAATCATCATTAAATATAAATACATAAATATATCATACCATTATATATCATATATGTAACTTGTACAATAGCAGTTGATTAATTCTTACTTTACACCATAATATCAAAGTTTAAACTTTTACCTATCTGATCTTGTTTTATATGATAAACTTTGGTCCTGGAACCTTCATCTTATCTCTGAGTTCTCGTACAATAATATCAGCAGCAGGGAACAGAACAGAAAAGGTGAAAGCCAAAATCACTGACCCACACTGACTGTCTGACAAGAATTCTTGTTGAACCTTGATATCTCAGGTCAGATGAACAAAGATTGCACTTCATGCTCAAGTACCAATGAAACAGAAAATGAGAAGCTCATTGCTGGAATTTTTGTTGAACCTTGATATCTCAGGTCAGATGAACAAAGATTGCACCTCATGTTCAAATACCAATGAAACAGAAAATGAGAAGCTCATTGCTGGAAAGCTTCTGAAGTGCAAATAATATGTGAAAACATATGAAGTGATTTTTTTCTACCGACTAAAAAAAGAACTGGAACAGAAAGCTACAAGGTATAAGACAAAGAAAAGAGGGGCCAGATGGAATTAAGCTTAAAGCTTTTATGGCTTATTTCCAGTAACCCACTCTGTGGCCTCTCTCAGATTTTCAATATTGATTCTTGCTTATAGTGGAAAATATATTTCAAATAGCATTGGTTCTATGAGCAAACACTAAGCTATTAAGACCTAAACAATGAAAATCCTACTACAACAGATCCAGTTGTGATGGTCACAAAATTCTCTAAAGACCCAACAGCTAAAGACAATGCATATACTTAAAGCAGAGGAGCTTTTACTACAATTCCCCACAGTGCAATTCCCAATAACAAGTTTATATGCGAATTATATCATCATTTGGTGTATTCTAGGTTGAGAAATTTATTCCTCTAGCAGCTAAATCCCCACCATCTACTTGCTACAATTGATATGCTGAAGTTGCAAATCATATCGTAAGGTCAAATTATGTATTAATAGAGAATTAACTCCACAGAAAACTGTTTCTGGTGTAAGCCAAGAGACAAACTAAACCTGTGGAACATTACTATCATGGATAAACAACAAGAAGTTGGTTATTGCCATCAAGAAGATTAACAAAGGACTAGAGATTAACAGTCTCAAGCAGATGCTTTGACATAACTCCTCTTTGTATCTTCAGGTCCTTCAATAAATTTAATCTGATTTGAAGATCCGAATACGAACATGAAGAAGTTCGTTAACAACAGAAAAATCAATGATATAAAGTCATAAGGAGTACCTCTGTACCATAGATCTCATAAATCTCAATATTCTGCAAGATCCTTCTAGTTCTGAACTTTCAGGGATATCCTTAAGCCTCATAGATCTCAATATTCTGCAAGATCCTTCTAGTTCTGAACTTTCACGGATATCCTTAAGCACAACCACAGGTGGTCTCAAATTCTTAGTCAGCTTTGAATGATATAATTCTGCATGTTCAGGGAGCAGAGCACTAGCTTTATTCATTACTGGTTCACCACTAAACTTCTCTGAAACTGAAATAGGACTTTCAGGGCTTCAATAGCCAAATTTCATCTTTCTTTGCTCCCACAATAGTTGCAAATGCTGGAGAATATCTTGAGTGAAGAATCACTAGCAAGCATGAGCCAGTGCCACCCACAGATGATGGAAACAAATAGTCTCTCTGACAATTTGTGGCTTGTTTTTTAATTTAACTCTATGGCAGTATCTGAGCCTCGCAGGCAACAAGATCCTTCAGCTTGGAAACATTGATCAAGGTTTTTGCAGAGACAAATACAAATCTGCGCCTAGCCTCTTTTCATCATCGCTAGAAACAATTCTTTTTTATCCTTGCCACTCCATATTTTCTAAGTCGCAGCTCCTTCCGGGAAAATATCCCATACTCTCTATTTCCAGATGTAATACGCTCAAGATGCTATTGATGCTCTCAACTTGTGGGTGGCTTCGGTCATCTACCTGGAATGCATGTACCCTATTTTTATCCTGAACCCAACTACATCCAGGAATTTTCTTTATCCCCGTATTAAACTTTGATCTTGGATAGTCTGCAATATTCCTCTTCCCATATTGAGCATACAAATCCAAAAGGGCCAGTTTATGACTTGGGTTTCTAGGCTCAAGTTTGACAAGATAATCCAGTGCAACCTCTCCTAACTGCACATTGGAATGTATTCTAGACGAGCTTATCAAAGCTCCCCAAACTCCTGCATCAGGTTTTAATGGCATCATGTCTATGCAATCCAACATCTCATCAAATAAACCAGCACGACCTAACAGATCGACCATGCAAGCATAGTGTTCTAGATCCGGTTCGAGATCATACTTTTCATGCATGGAATCGAATATTTTTCTCCCTTCTTTTATTAATCCTGCATGTCTACAAGCAGACAATACATTAAGAAAGGATATAGAGTCAACTGGAACATCTCTCCCTTGCATGAGTGAGAAAAGTGAAACAGCACAATCCCCTAGTCCATGAACAGCATACCCAGCAAGCATTGCATTCCATGAAACTATATCTTTATTTTCCATCTCATTAAAACATTTCTCAGAGTAACTGAGCAACCCACATTTAGCATACATATCAACGAGATTATTTCCAACTACTATGTAAGATTGAAATCCCATTTGGATGATGGTGGCATGAATAGCTATACCTTCTCTTAATGCTGCCAAATAAGCTGCTGCAGGAAGGAAACTTACAATTGTGACTAAATTAGGTCGAAAATTCTCTAGCTTCATTTGATGAAAAGCAGAAATAGCCTCTTCGGCATGTCCATTTTGCATATATCCTGCAATCATTATGTTCCACGATATTGTAGCCTTTTTGAAGCTAGTCATTTTGAACAAAAATACAGCTGAGGAAAGGCTTCCACATTTGGCATACATGTCAATGAGAGCATGCTTTATATGATTGTCAGAATCAAATCCACTCTTTATAATTTTCCCATGGATACAAGAGCCTTGATTTAAATTGTTTAAGAGTCCACAAGCTGGAAGCAAGCCCACCATGGTTCCTGGGACTGCTTTTATGCCAGATGACAGTAATTTACAAAACATATCCATTGCACTGTAAGCATCACCAGCCTGAGAATATCCATTTATCAAGGCATTCCATGCCACAACATCTTTACTTTGTATCATATTGAATATTACCAGTGCGTGAGAAAAGAAGCCAAATTTTAAATACATAGAAAGAAGGGCTGTTGCAGTTGCTGCATCAGAAAAAATATTGGCCCTTATAGTGTAGCAGTGTATACTCTTGCCTAACCGCGGAGATAGCTCTGTGCAAGCTGGGAGAATACTTACCAGAGTTACACTATTTGGTCTTACACATTCGCACTGCATGCTTCTGAAAAAATAAAGAGCTTCTTCAAAATACTCTTCTTGGACACAAGCAGCAATAATTGCAGACCAAGCAACCAAATCCCTTTCTGGCAGTTCCTGAAACAACTGCTTAGCTTTTTCTAGTTCTGAAAATTTTACATACATGGTTATTATTGGAGTGGCAATTAACACATCATTGTCAAAACCTTGTTGGATAATGCACTCATGAATCATCTTCCCCTTCTCTAAATCCCTCATCTCCGCAGCAGCCATTACACTGCTTGTCAGCACTACCTTATTCATTTTAACATTTTCAAATTTCATGCGATCAAACAATTCCAGAACCTCTAGGAAACACCCGTTATGAACATACCCCGACATCATGGTTCCCCATGAAACACTGTCCTGCTCTGCCATCCGCTCAAAGATGCATCGAGCAACATATACATCCCCACACTTACAATACATATCAATCAGTCCATTATAGACAACTGGAGTTAAACCTTTCCTTATCACATAACCATGGATAGACCTGCAAACAAGAACATCAGCTAGCTTTGAAATAGCAGGAATTAAGTTCAACAAGCTCACAAAATCAACTTCAACACCACTCATTTGCATACCACGGAAAAACGCCAACGCCTCACGAGGATCTCCGCTATGTGAAAATCCAGCAATCATAGCATTCCAAGCCACAACGTCTTTGTAGGGAATTCTATCAAACACCTCTCGTGCAGATTTCTGATCACCCATTTTACAGTACATATCGACAAGACCAGTCCCTATATACACATCAGATTCAAGACCCGCACGAGCTATATCCCGGTGAATCGACAGACCTTCTCCGAAATCCAGAGTACCCGTGCAAGCCTTCAAAGCAAAAGTGAAAGTATACTTATCTGGGTCAACTCCCTTCTTTAACATGCAGCGGTACAAGCTTAGAGCTTCTTTGTGATAGTCTGCTCTCGTGTAAGCTCTGATCATGGAATTCCATGAAACAACACTTGGGTTTGGATTAGAATCGAGAACTAAGCGAGCAGGGTCCGGTTTGTGAAACAGAGAGTAGGAGTTTATGAGATGGGTAGTTGAGCCATTGTCATGTCGAAGGCCTAAGACTATCAGGCGGCAATGAAGTTGAAGGAGAAAGTTAATGTCTTTGCATGGAGAATTTAGATGAAGGTGAAGGTGGTATGAGCAATTGACTACGTTTTTGGTTGGCAAAGAGTGAAATTTGGCTCTTGGTGGGAGTCCATGGAAGGATCTGCTTAGGAATGTCATCTTCTTCCTCAGCTCCCTTCTCAATAATCGCTCTGATTTCCCATGACGTTGTAAATTAAAAAATGGATATATGATATGAGTTCGTGGATTTATACGCGAGGTATCGTCGAATCTAACGTGTTTCAAAAGTAGTTTGAATCCGAGTATTCATACACATTCTGTCAGAACTGAATTTAAGAAAGAAAAAATTAAGCATATTAAAAGTACATGAATATGATGTTAAAATTGCATAGTACAATAAAGTTTCATAACAAAAAAATGCTCTCACTGAACGATTTTTCTCAGCTTGACAAAGGCACAGCGGCGCCGTGCGTAGATGACGATCGCTCGACCAAGAAGGTGAGAATAAGGGAACATCCTGAGCGGCTGCAATCAGCGGAAGAGGATGTTGGTGTCACAATCTTGGGCAAAAATGGGGAAGAAGCTAGTGACATGGACTTGACAGAATCGGAGGATGAGGGGCAAAGCAGGGGACTCTACGGGCGTTGGAAAAGCAATCGGGTGTCCTTCAAAGACAAACTTGCTAATGCAAAATTGGCAAAGAGTAAGATTGTCGATTTTGAAATTAGAGAAGAGCATGTGATATTGGCATCAGATGGGGAATATCTGACAGTGGCATTCTCGAATAAGGTCTAAAATTACCTAGCTCAATCCATGAGGAACTCAGCGGTCGTCTGTCTTTTGGACAGTCATCGGCTTTTGACCCCCCCTCAACTGCTTACAAAGCCTCTGGCGACCTGCGGGAATGTTCCAGCTAGTCGATCTGGAAAACAACTTTTACCTGGCGAAATTTACCGACCCCAACGATTATTCACATTCACTGATAGGGGGACCGTGGGTCATCTATGGGCATTATTTGACAGTGCAACCATGGACGGCCTCCTTCTCAGTCGACGATGACTGCCTCACTTCGGTGGTTGCCTGGGTCCGCTTTCCAGAGCTACCTATCCAGTATTATCACAAAGGGTTGTTGAGAGCCATTGCCAAAACAGTTGGCTCGATAGTGAGGATAGATTATAACACATAGTCAATAGAGAGGGGGAAGTTTGCCCCTATGGTCGTCTCGGTGGATCTCACCAAGCCTCTGGTCTTCAAAATTCGGATTGAGGGGCACCTTCAATGGGTGGAATATGAAGGGCTTCCAACGATTTGCTTTGAGTGTGGCTATTACGGCCATCTCCAAGAACAGCACACGAGGAAAGCAACAAAAGCCCCGACTAATGAAGCAACTAAAGGTGAATGAAAGAACCATCCTGCATTGCCCCATCCGGCATCAGACGGAGGAAAGTTTGGACCTTGGATGTAGGTGACAAGGCGGGGATGGAGGAAAGACAAAAAAGGAAACGGCTCTGTGAAATGGAATGATTCCCGATTTACCGACCGCAACGAATCGGGATCCAGATTTAAGCTGATTTCTTAGATTGGGGAAGAAGATAACAGCAACGCGAATTTGCATACAGATTTAGAGGGATTAAACAAGGGGGGAGTTAATGCTGATGAACGGAGAAGTGGAAACTAGATAACTCTGGTGAGAGGGTGGTTGATATGGAACAAAACTTAAATAGGAGAAAGTAATTGAAAGAAAGTAAGGTCGAGGGGGGCTGGGTTACGGCATGCGAACAGAGCCCTCGTACCATGCTCGAAGGCCCAGGCCCAGCACTGACTAGAGTGCATGTGGTGAGGCAGCCCGAAACAGGTAAGCCCAGTAAGGGGAATATGCGTGTCCCAGTTGATCCTGACCCGACAGCCTCGATCCATTAGGGTCCAACACTCCTCAACCTGAGAAAGCACTTGGTTATTCGGATCGAAGACCGGCGCACGATGATCTCCCAAGTCAACCTGGCCAAAATCAAGGAGGCTGACGGTCTTCTATTGAGCTCTTGCACCTAGAGGATGGTCTGGCCACTAGATCGGCAGCACTCAAGTATCCGGGTGAGAAAAACATCATGCCGAGACCATAAAAAAAGAAGGATGTGCGGAGAATCCCTGGAAACATCGACATTTTCGGTGGTCAAGATCCTGGGATGTGCGTGCGCAGGACCGAGCGTGGTTGACAGTCTAACAGTGGCCGGAACAGAGGCCAGCCACGCCGCTGTTGATGGTTGATCTTGGTTGGGTTAGGGTTTTGTTCGTTCTTTGCCAATTTTTATATGGATTTAAGACTTCTTACTTGAAATTGTCAATGTGCGACGAATTCCAATGTCAGCCGTATTCTTCAAACATTTTGTTGGCAACATAGACTGTCGATTCTCGCTCTGATAGAGCCGTGCATTTTTTATGAGAAAGCGGATTGCATCATTGGCTGCCTTAGTTTGAATTCTTCTCATAAGGTGGAAGCTCATGGTTTTGCTGGTGGTCTTTGGGTCCTTTGGAATGATCTAATTCAGGTGGAGATCCAGGTGAATAATGTCCAGTTCATCCATACCTGGATTCATTATAATGGTAGCGAGTCATGTGTCTTTTTTACTGCTGTGTATGGGAGTCCCCAGTTACAAAAGTGTCGCTACTTATGGTCTCACCTATCTCAACTTAATAGTACGATCCAAAAACCTTAGCTACTCGCAAGGGACTTCAACGCGATTATTAAGGCATCTGACAAACAGGGCAGAGCCATTAATGGTAGTGATGGGTGCCCCCTATTCTCCACTTTATTAGCCACAATGGGCTCTCTCAATTCGACTTCGTAGGACCTAAGTTCACTTGGCGATTAAGGGAAGTCTCCTCCAACGCCTTGATCGAGCCCTCGTTAACTTCTCATGGCTTAACAAGTTTTTAGACTCTTTCGTACAACACCTTCCTAAGATCCAGTCTGATCACAACCTCTAATCATCTGTTCTAGGACACCCTATACGCCGAGCTCCCTGCCCTTCCATTTATTTATCACCTGGCTTATACACCCCAGGTTCCCCACTTTTGTTAAATGAAGATAGGAATGAGGCACCTCACTCCAAGCCACTGTGGAAAAGTTCTATGCTAAGACCTGGAACACTATGGTATTCGATAATATTTTCTGTAGAAAGAGGTGACTAATGGCTCGTATCAATGGTGCCCAGAAAGCTCTTGAATCCTCCTATTCCAAGTATATGAGTAGGCTTGAGGTATCCCTTCAACATGAGCTCGAGGCGCTTCTTTTACAAGAGGAAATCTATTAGATCCAGAAGTCACCGTGTGAGTTTATCTCTCTGGGGGATAAGAATATTGCCTACTACCATGCGCGGACGATGGTTCAGTAGCGATGCAATAGGATCCTTATGCTCCAGGACGAAATGGGGAATTAGATTTCGGATGATAGTCAACTTAGTCACATGGCCAATTAGTTCTTCCAGCAGCTATATTGCGAGGAGGCTCCTAATAGGCCTGTCTTTGTTGTTCGGGGTAGGTGTCACATGGCCAATTAGTTCTTCCAGAAGTTGTATTCCGAGGAGGCTCCTAATAGGCCTGTCTTTGTTATTCGGGGTAGGTTCCCCGCTCTCAGCACTGACACTATCGTCGACCTGAGTAGGCCTATCACCAGTGAAGATTAATACCCGGACCCAGAATTTGACTCAG